TCCGTGCTATGGTCAGCAGCTGCGGGCACAACACACAGGGTACATAATGGTTGATCGCTATGTCACATTGCAGAGAGGCTCTCCGACCCATCGCAGCAAGGATTACACAGAAAGAGTGGGATCGACGGCCTATCTTCAACGACGTCCGCATGGGGGACTTCATTATCGTCAACAATTGGGGTTCACCCAATTGCTATCACTATGACAATCTCTACCCCAAGGGCAACTACAACACGAAAGCCCGCATAAACAAGGGCCATATTTATGGACCAGTCATACACTTCGGAGTCTTCGAGAAGTTCTTTGCAGTGCAAATACCTATCCTCAACTACGGTTTACGATGGGTAAACATATGGTATTGCGACAAAAATATGCCCCTCAGGGGAGTCATCTTCGCTTTGCCAGTGCGCGCCGACATCAACCCTGTTCACTTGCATGTCGCACTTCAGGGCCCATCTTCATGCAGTGATCAGATCAATGAATTTAAACAAACAGGTGATCTACCATATCTTGGAATGCCGAGCATTTACAAACCACGCATCCCACGTACGCCGACCAGACGCCCCGCTCCTCGGACACCCGATCCCGACGAGCTGGTGGCGACACCTGCCGAAGACCCCACGGCAGACGACGAGGGATCCCGACGCGACGCAGGCCAATCCACCGATCCTCTGATCACTGTCATCGTCGACATCGACCATACCACTCACAGATGAGGAAAGAGCAGCCAGTGATACCATGAAGGCAGATTCACCGGCGGAGATTCACGCTGATGAGGACGTTGGCTCGTCCATCCTTGACAACATTATTGATCCGCCAGAAGATTTCCTCACCCACCCCGACTATGACCCAGAGGACCATACTAAATGGATTGTATCATTTTATGGCCACCGCGTATACCGCTGGACATCGGAACCACTGGTGGACTCTCCAATGATAAAGGTGAACCAAACTATTGAGTTACACACTGGCAGGGCCGACCTTGTGGTGGACAGGATAGAGTCATGCCTGCGATTTGAGATACAATTCGGTCCAAAAACGGAAGCATATCAAATGGATTACGATCATATCCATAAATGGGCACGCGACTTACCAATATGCAGTGCAGATTGTTTATTCAAGAAGATGGTACATTACCTTGACCCAGAGATCATTGAGGAATCGACCACGGGCAAATTTCAATGGATTTCCAAAGTGTACCAAATCATATTGTTGGACAGCATCAAGGAGCTGCATCAGTTCACCAACGATGCCATCTATCAGAACCATCCTGCCCTCAATACGTTGCGTGCTTTCTTCACAGAATGCATCAAGACACATGGCAACCCAGGCTTCCCCGTATGGAAGGAGCCGGTGGAAACGCCTGCTGCGCCTGACCTAGACGATCCAGGCGCCAAGCAGGATATCCCCAGGGATCCAGGTAGTGTCGCCTCGGCAGCTCCCGACCAAGAGACCATGGTACATATCATAGCCGAGACGCAGAATATTGACCGCGAGGTGGGCGATAACGAGGCCATCTTGCAGGCAGAGGCTACCCGCATTCGTGCGGACAACGTACACCATGGTGATATGGACACCGCGGACACCGACACCTCCGGGTACGCAGGACTACCTGGGGAAAGGCTGTCTAGGATCGAGATCGAGGGGGTCGGCCGATCGATCGCTTCCCGTCCGACCGCAGAGGTCCATCGTGAGGCAATGAACCAAATCGGTCGTGGTCTTGCGTCAACTGACGGTGGCGCCACCCGCTGGGGATCTCAGGGATCTTGCCACTTCCGGGGTTCCTGAAACGATCCAGCATGATATAGCGCGATGTCGGAATTGCGATCGTTTCCTTTCTCTGGGAATCGTCGCGGTTGACGGTACAATTTGTGATATCTGCTGGCAGTACAGTGTTTCTGTAGGTGCCACAGGCCAAGGTGGCGCCGCGGAGAGCGACCTAGCGTACCTCCAGCAGTTGAACTACTGGATCAAGGCGAACCTCTCCCTGGACGATGTCAACCGGAACATGTCAGATGGAGCGCGTGTCTACATGATGGGCAAGCGCTCCAAGGCTGGCCAGGAGAAGGATACCTTGAGGAAACATGCGAAGAAGGCAGAGGAGAGGTATGAGGTGGCTTGACGCAGGCTCCCCTCCTGCACACATGTGCAGGATGATTGGCGAGGCTGAGGATCAGCGACCTCTATACCACCCCTTTCGCAATGTCGTACAGCGATTCGTCAATGACCTACGTTTCCACCACCAGATGACTGCCGCTCGCGTTGAGACTGGCAAAAAGGCCTGGACCATCGATGACATGCGCGACGCTTGTGACATCTATGATCACAGCGTTAGGCTTGGCTTCGCTGGTCGCAGGAACTGGTGGCTGAACGATGGTAGACTCGACAGAGGCACCAGGCAAGAGCGTGGCCTTGTCACAATTGCTTCGCCCCGCGGGGACGGCACTTGTGAGAAGGTCACGCAGCGCAAGCTTGCCAAATTGGCCTCCGTCGAACCTGGCATGGGGTCTGCCAATCCAAGGGGGGTGAGTTCAGGGGTTAGAACCGATCCTAACGACCCCAACACACACTCCTCACACACACACATGGCGCCATGGAGCCGCAGCAGCCGCGGCACCCGCCGCCGCCTCGCCCTGCCCATGGCGATGCTGCTGGCTCCCGCGCCTCTGGCGCGCAGGATGACATGCCCGCTGGGCCGCGCGGCGCGGCCGCCGCGCAGCGGCAGAGCGGCGACGCCAGCCGCAGACCAACAACGCCTCCACGTGCCAAGCGGGCGCGTACGACAGAGGACTACGCGACTTGGTGGCGCCGCAACCTGGAGGACAGCCAGTGGGGCCCCAGGTACTGGGGCTATTACGCCAAATGCTGGATATACATCGCGGACAACAGCGACGAGTTCGTGTGCGTCCGCGACCTGCTGCACAACGAGCGGTTCCGCAACTGAACCCCAAGGACGCCTTGAGAGACATTCACGACGAGCTACGTCGAGAACGATGGCCACAGGGTGTGGGGCCAGAGGTTCTACCTGAGAGGCAATTCGTAGTTTCGTTGGCCGCAGGGCCCACTGCTCGATTGGCTTGAACTTCATCTCTCCAAAAGTTCGCCTCGAGCAGTGATTACTAACATAATTTTAGGCCACTTCACTATACAGGAAAAGTGGCCACACACACTCACACCATGTGAAACCCAAGGCAGACTCCTGAGGAGCATCGCCGATGGGGGGTAACTAATTGCAGAATTTGTTAATGCATTTTTCGCGTTTGTCGACGCGACTCTACGCATGGCCATGCATTTGCTTTTATATTTATACGTGTTTCTTAACACGATCGTGTTTCTCAACACGACTTGATATTGCACATTTTTTTTTGGCCTATTCGTTACATTCTAGTTTCATTGCGTTGATAATGATCTGATGCCCAGCTGTGGTTTGAAAGCTGGTGGCAACACCTGCCGCGTTCAGGCGCGGCAGCTTCTGATGTTGCTTTAATTTAATCAGATCCTCTTGCTCCGCCCACCCGTGTCTCATTCTTCTCCGCCCCCGAGTGCCGAAGCGTTTTTGGGGGGCGCGCCGAGGGGGCACCAAAGTGTGCTTGGCGAAGAAACAGGGGCCCTGCGTGTTCCTTCTTACCCTTACTTGCCTGACCATGACAGCTGTTGTGCTACGCTACCTTTTGCACGCCGCTGTCGTGATCGGGACGCAGCTGAAGCGGTGCAGATTTCACGCTCAGCTGCCTGGCAGTGTTGAAGATTTGAGGAGTAAAAGGGTGACATGTTCTTTTTCTACTTTTCCCGAGTCCTGCCCTTGCGGGCGGGATTCGGGACGGGGGGTGTGAATAGACTCCCGTAAAGTACCCCCCCATACATACTTCTTACCCTCACCTCTCCTGCGCCTGGCCGTTTGGGCTCAGGTATTGGAATAGATCGATCAGACCTTTGATTGTGCAGGAGGAAGAGATATCAATTTTACCCTCCTTTCCTCTACAAGCGGATCAGGGTTTCTGTACCTTTGTACTCCAACCCCATACACAAGGATGGGAGGAATGTTGATGCTTGTCCTGCTTTATACCTTTATGGGCCTTCTCGGGGGTCGTCGCTGCCACGGCTGGATCCACTTCGAAGTTTTGGTCAGCGCTCCAAGAGAGGTCTGGAGCTGGATTTTTGGAAGTTGTTTGTTCGACTATCTTCCATTGTTCAGGCATGTCTCTCTTGGTCCATAGTTACTCATCGTCTTTGACCATCAATTTCCCAACGGCAGAGAAAGGATGGGGAGGGGAAGAAGGCGTAATGATGTGTTATGCATGTTCTTGCTCACCACGGTCCTTAATCCAAATGTCTCGTCACGGATGAATTTCAGCCGCCCTCGTGACAAACGCCCCCATTGCAGAACGAATGTGTATGCGTTTCGTGCGACATTCGGACGGTGAGTTTGTCGCTGTTTCTCATCCGCTTTCCCTCTTCCAGCCTAATCGTCCGTATTCCTTCTCCTCCTCCTTTTCCATCGTCCATTATCCCCCTGCATTTTCCAGCTTATTAATCATATGGATCATTCATCCTCGATCCTCCACCCTCCTCCCTCCCTCCTCCATTCTCTTCTATCCTCGATCCATTTTCCATCATCCATCCATGTCCATCCTCCTGCTAGTCGATCCTCCTGCCTCGATACCTGACTTACTCCTCCTCATTGATCCTCCATCCTTCCGCATCCTCCTGGCCATCTTGTTTTTCCTGGGTTATGAATTCTTTATCACCGATCTCTCCCTTCTTCGACCTCCTTTCACGAACCCTCCGTTATCCCTCCCTTCTCTATCAGTTCGTGCAGGAGGAGGAGGACGAGGAGGAGGAGGAGGAGGATGAGGATTAAGAGGAGGACGGGATGAGGGAAGAGGAAACGGAAGGATGGGGACGGGGATGAAGGATGATGAGGACGAGGGATGACGGGGTAGGGTCACTGTGCGAGGCAGGGAGGACAAGGGTACGACTAAGCAGTGTCAGCGCATCAGTACCATAGCCATCACCACTGGCAGGACCTGGGCCAGCCAGGGCTTACCCAGCTTGCCAGCCTCGACCTTGGCGGTGGCTTTGGCCCCCTGGTCGAGTTAGGCGTCGGCAGAGGTCAGGCGCAGAAGGTGCCCCCAGGACGCCCGCACACGGGGAACTGGCGGGCTCAGCTTCTGCATGCCTGTCCGTCGGGGCCCAGCCGCTGCGGCAGTCGCTTGCCCACCGTCCCGATAACGAGCAAAAGCAACGAGGCCAACCCTGTCACGCAACGAACCGTTTCAGCACCCCGCGCCGCGGTACGTGATTCTTCGACGATGTCGCCAGGCGATGCTGAGGGCCATTTCGGGGCGGCGAGGCGACTGCACCGGTGCCAGGCTGGGACTATGGCCAGCGCTGGTGCGGCATTTTCATGCCGAACAGCTGCCCGCGTTCTGGCCAGAAGCAGCGCGCTCTTGACCATTTCGGGGGCAGCCCGCAACGATGAACTCAGCGAGACCCCTTGCCGCAGGCATGCATGAGTAGTGCAACGCCGGGAGGAGGCGCGGACGGGAGTGGCGCGCGAGCGCAGCTCAGCGCGCTGCGCACTGAAATCTGGGTCGGGCCAGAGAGCATCGGAGGGCGCGCTGCGTGCCGGTGCGGCCGACAGGCCCGTGTCGGGGCGGGCGCGCCAGTCGTGCCCTGCCCCGCGCGCGAGAAGCGGGCGGCGCCCTCTGGCCCAGCTGCCGCCGGGCCGGAGCGAGCGCGAGCGCGCGAGGGGTGGGGAAAGGTCCTGGGCGCCCGCGAGCCGCTCGAGTCAGGCGCGTTCGCGGAGATGGTGCGGGAGAAGCGCCGTGGGAGGTTCTTGTTCGTCGCCGCCAACATCGTCAACCACGGCATCCTCTCCGCAGTTCGCAGGGGCTCCCCTTTTTCCTCTCCTCCGTGTTGGTGGTGCTGCTCCTCCTGCTCCTCGTCCTCTTGCTGCTGCGCTCTGCTGCAGGAGCTGGACGCCCCGCCCCTGCCCGCAGGAGGAGGGGCGGAGGAGGAGCTGGATGAATAGAAGGAAGAGGAACATGATGCTGTTGATGGCTGTTAGGAGGAGGAGGAGGAGGAGGAGGAGGAGGAGGAGGAGGAGGAGGAGGAGGAGGATGGAGGACGGAGGAGGAGGAGGAGGAGGAGGAGGAGGAGGAGGAGGAGGAGGAGGAGGAGAGGAGGAGGAGGAGGAGGAGGAGGAGCAGGAGGAGGAGGAGGAGGATGGAGGACGGAGGAGGGGGTGGAGGAGGAGGAGGAGGAGGAGGATGGAGAACGGAGGATGATGGAGGAAGACGGGGGGGTGTTTCACATGGCCGTTCCGGCCTGGAGTAGGCTGAGTAGGGACGCCTATTGACGAAGTGTTGCAGGTCGTGTGCGCCGTGAGCGTTTGGCTCAAGATGCCTGGACTGGTTAGTGTAGTGTGCATCTAATTTACGTGAAAACAGGCGCGTTTATCGTGTCATTGGCATCGACAGAGATTCTTCAGGAATTTGCATGATAGCGAAGCGGTTTGGCAGTACATGAATGTTCGACCGGTAGCGGTTTCCACCGGAGGCAACAAGCAAGCTCAAATGCCGCACGAAGGAACCAATGGCGAAACCAACGGAGTAAATACAGGTATCGAACCACCAATCCAGTCTTTAAGAACACTGCTCGTTCGTGCCAGAGGCTTTTAAGGTGGACCCTCCCACGTCAACCGCTCAATACATGAGCCAGATCTGGACAATGACCTCCAGGTGCCGTGCACCAGTATGTCTGCATTTGTCAAGAGGACTGGCAACCAGAAGCGCTTCGCTGTTCAGCAACGTATACCGCCAGCATGCGCGTGACCGTCACAAGAACATCACCACAGCATACTGCTTACAGCATACACCTCAATGGAAGCACATACCCAGAATATTGAATGAGAGCTGATGCCAGATGACTTCGATTCAGCGGCATACATGGAGTCAAGCTGCTCCGTTGAGAAGCACAGTTTTGCATCCCAGGCAAGGGCCAATCATCCATACGCCGAACAGTGCGTTCTACTTGCGTTACTCAGCAATTGGTTGGCGTTTCCTGGTTTCGTCCAGTGGGTGCCCGTGACCGCCTGGAGCGCTGGCTGGCGTTTCCGCATAGCATATTATGCATCACGCAGAAAGCACTTCGAGGAACAAACAACCCATCGTTTCGGTTCTTCGCTGGTTGCCCATCCGTAGAATTGCCAAGAAAGTTTAGTTAGGAGCGTGATGTGTATCAAAGTTTAGAACTAGACATGCTCAAGCGGCGGCGTTGATCAGCATTGTTCGCCCCATCTTGTGTATCGGTTCTCGCTGTGGGTCGTTCTTTGATGGCCCATGAACCGTAAGGAATCCGAAGACCAAACCTCATAATGGTCGATCGCCTCGATTTTGCCAGGACGATGGAGGTGTCCAGGAAAATGCGGAGTGAGAGGAGGAAAAGGCGACAGCTACGGGGGGGTCGCAGGTCCACCAGGAGATCGCGGCGATACCAGACCTGGAGAAGCCTCAAATCCCCGAGGGCGCGGACTGGTACGAGCAGAAGCTGGGCCCCTGGCGATACCGAGGCTTCAAACTCGACGTTGTCGACGTCGACGTCGACGCTGGTGTTGCTGTCAGCGTCGTCGTCGACGGTGTCGTCATCTCCTCGCCCTCGTCGTTCTCGTCATCCTCGTCGTAGCTGGATCCTCGCCGCGATGGAGGCACGCTTGGCGGCAGCCCGAGTGTGGGCTTGATGGCTGAGTGGGTTTTGGGATCCCTTTATCGGGAAGGAGTAGGGGGAGGAGGGAGGAGGGGATGGAGGGAGGTTTTGGGTTAGAGACCAGCCTTTGCACAAGTGCTGGCTACGTGGCCTCCTGGTGGGAGGCACCTCAAGAAAAGCTGGATGAAAACACGATTGGCCACGGGAAGCCGACCAATGCCTGGGCCTTCGAATTGAGGATCCGAAGGTGAGGAGACGAGGGTCCTTCCGAAGTGCAGCAAGGGCCGAAATGGTCATATTTCGTGGGTGGAAAACAGATCAGTATCCACGGCCTCGTGGGCCAGGCCCCCAGGCCGCGACCCCGTGGATACGGGGCTTTTGCGGATGTCCCGCGCAGAACGCATCCGTGCGACCGCGTATCTGCGGGATCGCGCCCCAGAGTCCAGACCGCAAGGGCCTTGGATATGGATATGGCCGCCGCTCGTGAATGTTGGCGACGCACCCTGTGGGCCTTTACCGACGAGAAAGCATGCAATTGCGTTGCGGACGCACGGCGAAGTAGCCATGAGGATCCTGGCCCAGGCACGCCGGGGAGGAGTGAAAGGAGCCCATGGGAGGTAAACCGCCCTCAGGCCAGTCTTGAATGGACGGGATAGGGATGGGACGCAAGTCCCTGTATGTATGTGTGTGTGTGTGTGTGTATATATATATATATATATATATATGTATATATGTATATGTATTATATATATATATATATATATATATATATATATATATATCGGAGTAGGGCCCCGGGGCGGTGCCTGTCATCTCCATGGGGTGTGCAGGGCGCCCCCGGGAGCGTCCGAAGCGTCCCGGAGGGCCCCTGGGACCGCCAGGAACAGTTCGAGACCGCCCAAGACGGCCCGCGAGCGCTCCAAGACGCGCATACATAGCCTCAGGAATGGCCAGGAAGCCCCGAAGACGTTCCAAGAGAGCTCCATGAGGCCCCGAAGGCATCCCAAGAGGCCTCCCAAGAGAGCCGCGACAAGCCCAAATCGTTGATTTTCATTGTTTTTTTTTCGAGGTTTTTGGCCTTCTCGCTTTTTCAGGGTTCCGACGCTCCACGACCGTCCAAGAGTCTCCCAAAACCGCTCCAAGACGGCCGAAGAGGCCCCCAAGACCGCCCCAAGACGGCCCAAGAGACCCCCCAAATCGTCCCAAGACGGCCCAGGAGAGCCCCAAGATGGCCCAGGAGCCGCCCAAAACGGTTCCAGGAGAGCCCCGACAGGGCTTCAAGACTGCCTAAGCGAGCCCAGCGGTCCCCAAGAGGGCCCCGCGAGGCCCCAAGAGGCCCCAAAGAGGCCCCCAAGAGCCTCCCCGGAGGCCCCCAGAGGCCCCCAAGATGCCCAAAAATGGCCCTGAGCGCGCCCCAAGACGCCTCCAGGAGAGCCCAACAGGCCTCCGAGAGGCCCCCAAGAGGCCCACTGGAGGCCCTCAGGAGGTCGTCCCCATCATGTTCCCGGAAGGCGGTCCGGGAACATGATTCCGCGCCTTGGAGGAGTATTCTGCGCTTTCCGAGGCGCCTTCCGAGGCGCCCTGGACGACGTACGTATGTTTCTATATATTGTCCATCTCCTGTGTACACAATCCTACATGTCTTACGTATGTTTCTCTCTATATGTATGTATGTATGTATATATATATATATATATGTATGTATATGTATATATTTATATGTATATATATGAATATGTGTATATAGATATGTGTACATATAGATATACCCCTCCCCCAAGCCCTCCCGAGTCGTGCCACTTCCTTCCACGTATTTCAATTTCTTCCGTATACTTATATACACATACATTTTCATATATCTATATATACATATGTATATGTATATGTATATATATATATATATATATATATATATATATATACATATATACGCCCCAAGACGCCTCCAGGAGAGCCCAACAGGCCTCCGAGAGGCCCCCAAGAGGCCCACTGGAGGCCCTCAGGAGGTCGTCCCCATCATGTTCCCGGAAGGCGGTCCGGGAACATGATTCCGCGCCTTGGAGGAGTATTCTGCGCCTTCCGAGGTTCCTTCCGAGGCGCCTTGGACGACGTACGTATGTTTCTATAGCTTGTCCTTCTCCTGTGTACACAATCCTACATGTCTTACGTATGTTTCTCTCTTTCTCTCTCTCTCTATATATAGCTTTCCGAGGCGCCTTCCGAGGCGCCTTGGACGACGTACGTTTGTTTCTATATATTGTCCTTCTCCTGTGTACACAATCCTACACGTCTTACGTATGTTTCTATATATATATGTATATGTGTGTATGTCTATATATATATATATAGCCCTCCCCCAAGCCCTCCCGAGTCGTGCCACTTCCTGCCAGGTATTTCAATTTCTGCCGTATATGTATGTATGTCTGTATGTATGTACGTACGTATGTATGTATGTATGTATGTATGTATGTATGTAGGTATGTATGTATGTATGTATGTATATATATATATATATGTGTATGTATATATGTATATGTATGTATAGGCCGTCCAAGAGTCTCCCAAAACCGCTCCAAGACGGCCGAAGAGGCCCCCAAGACCGCCCCAAGACGGCCCAAGAGACCCCCAAAATCGTCCCAAGACGGCCCAGGAGAGCCCCAAGATGGCCCAGGAGCCGCCCAAAACGGTTCCAGGAGAGCCCCGACAGGGCTTCAAAACTGCCTAAGCGAGCCCAGCGGGCCCCAAGAGGGCCCCGTGAGGCCCCAAGAGGCCCCAAAGAGGCCCCCAATAGCTTCCCTGGAGGCCCCCCGAGAGGCCCCCAAGATGCCCAAAAATGGCCCTGACCGCGCCCCAAGACGTTTCCAGGAGAGCCCCACAGGCCTCCGAGAGGCCCCCAAGAGGCCCACTGGAGGCCCTCAGGAGGTCGTCCCCATCATGTTCCCGGAAGGCGGTCCGGGAACATGATTCCGCGCCTTGGAGGAGTATTCTGCGCCTTCCGAGGTTCCTTCCGAGGCGCCTTGGACGCTGTACGTATGTTTCTATAGCTTGTCCTTCTCCTGTGTACACAATCCTACATGTCTTACGTATGTTTCCATATATATATATATATATGTCTCTCTCTATATATACATATATATACACACATATATACATCGGAGTCGGGCCCGGGGGCGGCCCGGGGCGGTGCCTGTAATCTCCATGGGGGGTGCCGGGCGCCCCCGGGAGCGTCCGAAGCGTCCCGGAGGGCCCCTGGGACCGCCAGGAACAGATCGAGACCGCCGAAAACGGCCCGCGAGCGCTCCAAGACGCGTATAGATAGCCTCAGGAATGGCCAGGAAGCCCCGAAGACGTTCCAAGAGAGCTCCATGAGGCCCCGAAGGCATCCCAAGAGGCCTCCCAAGAGAGCCGCGACAAGCCAAAATCGTTGATTTTTATTGTTTTTTTCGAGGCTTTGGGCCTTCTCGCTTTTTCAGGGTTCCGACGCTCCAAGACCGTCCAAGAGTCTCCCAAAACCGCTCCAAGACGGCCGAAGAGGCCCCCAAGACCGCCCCAAGACGGCCCAAGAGACCCCCAAAATCGTCCCAAGACGGCCCAGGAGAGCCCCAAGATGGCCCAGGAGCCGCCCAAGACGGTTCCAGGAGAGCCCCGACAGGGCTTCAAGACTGCCTAAGCGAGCCCAGCGGGCCCCAAGAGGGCCCCGCGAGGCCCCAAGAGGCCCCAAACAGGCCCTCAAGAGCCTCCCTGGAGGCCCCCAAGAGGCCCCCAAGATGCCCAAAAATGGCCCTGAGCGCGCCCCAAGACGCCTCCAGGAGAGCCCAACAGTCCTCCGAGAGGCCCCCAAGAGGCCCACTGGAGGCCCTCAGGAGGTCGTCCCCATCATGTTCCCGGAAGGCGGTCCGGGAACATGATTCCGCGCCTTGGAGGAGTATTCTGCGCCTTCCGAGGCGCCTTGGACGAAGTACGATTCATATTCTTGAACGCTTTCCGGGAACATGATTTCTCACCATTTCGGAACGTTTTCCTACTGCTGCGGTGCTCTGGGGGGAAGGGACGGGGGTCCGGGAACATGGAGAGGAGCAGTAATTAGGACAGACGGACGGGGCCCGGGGGCGGGGGTGGGGTGGTGCCACCGGTTGGCATGGCCGCCCCGGGCGTCCTGTGGGGTCCACGAACCCGCCCAAGACGGCCCATGAGGCCCCAAAGACAGCCCAAGAGACCCACAAGACAGCCTCAGCGAGGCCCAAGAGGGCCCCAAGACGCTCAAGAGCGCCCCAACAGCGCCCGAGATGGCTTGAAGATGGCCGAAGAGGGCCCCAAGAGGGTCTTCAAGAGGCAAACACCGGCCCATTCCCATTCGTAAAGCATGCATTTTCAGCATATTCGTTTGCTTGGTCCTCACAGTGCCCCAGACGCCCCCGAGCCCCAAGACAGCCCAAGAGAGACCCAAGAGGGCCCACGACGGCCCAAACGGGTCGTCCTGTGAGGCTCACGGAACCCCCCAAAGACGGCCCAAGAGGCCCCAAAGCCGGCCCAGGAGGCCCCCAAGACGGCCTCAGGAAGGCCCAAGAGGGCCTCGTTCGAAATCATGTTCCCAGAAGCCTCTCCGGGAACATGATTTCCGGGTTTCTAGGACGCCCAAGAGGGCCCCAGGACGGCCCCAAAAGGGCCCTAAAAGGACCTTCAAAAAGGCCCGGATGGCCACAGTTCGTTGATTTGCGTGAGATGTTGTTGTATTTCTTCCGCGCGGAGGAGACGGAGAGGGCGAAGGAGGAGGAGGAGGAGGAGGAAGAGGCAGAGGAGAAGGAGGAGGAGGCAGGGAGGAGGAGTGGAGGGGAGGAGGGGGGAGAGAGGAGGAGGCTCGAGGGC